CTGCTGTCCATGACAGTGATGCGCAGCCAGAGCTTAGACCAACCTGTACTGCTGTCCATGACAGTGATGCGCAGGGGCATGGCCATCATAGGTCCTGTTCCCTTACCTCCGTGCCATCCCCTGCCTCTCTTCTCCAAGTCCACCCCTGGATGTCCCAGCCCTGGGAGGGAGAGGTGGCCAGCAGCTCACATGGTAGGGCCACCTTTAAGGAACCTGGGCGCAGGAGGGAAGTGCTATGTGGACCAGTAGCTGCTGCCTTCCAGGGAGACCAGCGCTAAGCCCGAGCACTGACCGAGTCTGTGCCAGTAGCTGCTGCCCTCCAGGGAGATCAGCGCTAAGCCCGAGCACTGACCGAGTCTGTGTATCCCATGTCATTCCTGTAGCAGCCGGAGTCAGGAATAGCATGTCCTGGGTGCAGCTCTGAGGCAGACACACCTCTCCACCCTGAGTGTGTTCGGCCCTCTGCTTTGTTTACTCACCGTAGCCTGGACTGAGAGAGTGCTATCTGCTTCCCAAGCCCAGCACCCTGGGGAGAGCCTGCGGGTGAGCCTCGTGGCAGGAGGTGCTTGGAAAGGGTTTGAAAGAGGAGGGGTTTGGGGTCCACCGACACACCCAAGAGGAGATGTCAGCCCAGTGGGCACACACATGCTGGTAGTGGTTTGTTGCACCACCGTCCTGGGTTTGAGTCTCAGTAAGAAGCAAACGCTGACCCCTGGAGGAGGTGAGATGAGGCTGGCCCCAGCCCCGGGAGAGCCTGCGGTTCCTGTGGGAAGGAGCCGCGGGCTTCAAGTTGTTGGAGCCCTGGCTCCAGCTGCACAGATCAGTGTGTCAACCTGTCATGACTCACAGTGCCTTGGCCATGGCTAATAACATTGCTGGCTCGGACAACGGCCAGGCTTCCAGATGCACCTCTACAGCACCCTAGTATATGCTTGTCATTTTCTCCTACAAAGAAGCCCAGGCCTTGGTTCCTACCCATAATGAGTGGTGGCTGATAGGAACAAAAGAGAGGTCCCAGGGGAGGCTGCCAGCACCACAGGGTAGCAGAGAGGCCCTGGGATCTCCAGTAGCCATAGCCACAGCCTTGGGGGAAGGGAGATGGTCAGCTTCTGCCAGCTGCCCTCCAGCGTGGGCCTGGGCTCCGTGGTGAGCTCGGTGGGGTTCTGGAGGCCTCTCTCTTCACCTCACCCCTTTCCCAGAGGTGACTCCATACCACTCAGGACTGGATGGAGGGCAAATGCACTTTCTCTCTACCTTGTGATCTGAAATTATGGAAGAGAACCTGAACCTAGTGATTATTCAGACATTTTGTTTTGCTTGTGTCTTACTGACTGGTCTCATTATACTCTCTGTGTCTTCAGGATACCTTGAGGCAACATTTAGACAAGTCTTTGGAGGAAAATAGCAGCTTAAAATCTCTTCTGTTCAGCTTGAAAAAAGAAGTAAAAAATGCTGATACTTCTGCTGCGCTACATTTGCAGATCACTGGTGAGTTCACCGTTTATTTGGTAATCACTTGGTGAAATGCAAGTGCTCAAATGTAAAAAGGTAGACTTTAGTCTTAGTCATTTTCTGCCAGTCGAAGCAGTGTAAGGTCAGCTAGCCAGAGCAGGTGGACAGAAGAAGATGCGTCCTGTTGCCTTTGATTCTTTAGCCAAATTTGGACCTTCCACCCTGTGGCTCTTGAATTTAATAATGCACTGGTGGTGTTTCTGCCTCCTGAGCAAGAAGGTGACTTGAAGTATGTTTTCTGGTCTCTGTTTGTTCCAGGTACAAATAATTTTCATTTACCTCTTTTTCTGTCTCTGGTTCCACTTGTTCTATTTTAGAGAAGTCAAGTTGGGTTACCTATGTTTGGGGCAACATTGATGTGTCTGTTTGCATGGCAACCTATCTAGGAGGTTGTAGTCTATATTTTGGGAGGGTGAACTTCCCAGCAGTCTCTCCTCTTGTCCTGGGAGAAATTGAAGGGCCAGGAAGTAAGCACCTCAGAGTCGATGTCCTTCCCATGATGTGTCTGCCTCTTTGTGGTCCCTGCAACATAAAAGGACTACAGGCAAGCCCAGGTGTCAGTCAAGGACAAGCCCTTTGCCATTTATTGAATAAGAAGACGTTTTTATAGTCTTTTCTTGTAAGAGTTGTCTTTATCCTCTTTTTACCTTGTTTCTATGACGTATTAGGTTTTGTTTTGTTCTGTTTTTCTCTTAGGTTTCTTCTAGCCTGGTTATTTCCAATGTGACTGTTTCCTTTGTTGCTGATTCTGCTTGAGTTATCTAACATTTTTGGTTGGAGCTCAGGATGTTCTTTATTTCTTGTGTTCTATTTTCTTTATATATTTGTGTATATTTTCTATTAGTCCCTGCTTGTTTTGTGATGTTGGGTGGGCGTTCATGTTTACCCCTATCTTTGAGTCTGTTATAGAAATGAGTGTTCTGTTATATATTCTTTTTTTTTTTTTTTTTGGGTCCGGTCGTGGGGCTTGAACTCTGGGCCTGGGCGCTGTCCCTCAGCTCTTCAGCTCAAGGCTAGCACTCTACCACTTGAGCCACAGCGCCACTTCCAGCTTTTTTGTTTTTGCTTATGTGGTGCTGAGGAATTGAACTCAGGGCCTCAGGCATGCAAGGCAAGCGCTCTACCACTGAGCCACCTTCCCAGCCCCGTGTTATATATTCTTATATCTAACTTATACTAGAATTGTCAAGACATGTGCATGAGCTTCCTTATATAATTCTGCCACTTTTCTTCTTTCAGGACTTCAAACAAGTGTGAAGCAGCTCTCTGGTGAGATTGTAGAGCTGAAGCAGTATCTAGAGCACTATGATAGGATCCAGGAGCTCACGCAGATGCTGCAGGAGAGCCACAGGTACTTGTGTGAGCCAGACAAGGGAGGAGCGGAGGGGGAGAGGCCGAGTGGTAGGGAAGGTAGATCCATGCGGCAACATCGCAGAAGCACAAAGAGCAGCTGACTGCGCATCACAGCAGTTAGTGTCCAGGGTCCACACGTAGCACCATGCTGACGTGGAGTGTCTGCTGGTGAAAAGTGAGGCTCTTCCTGCGGCCACGTTTTGTGATCTTGGTGGTAATGTTGAAGTGTTGACCTGGAAATGTAGATTTTGACCCTGAGGAGTGGATTCTGAGGTGTGGACCTTGACCTGTGGGCCCTGAGGTGTGGACCCTGAAGAGTGGACCCTGAGGTGTAGACCCTGAGATGAGAACTCAGAGCTGTGGACCCTAAGGTACAGACCCTGAGGTGTGGACCTGAGGTGAGAACTGAGGTGTGAACTCTGAGGTGAGAACTCTGAGGTGAGAACTCTGAGGTGTGAACTCTGAGGTGAGAACTCTGAGGTGAGAACTGTGAGGTGAGAACTGTGAGGTGTGCACTCTGAGGTGTGAACTCTGAGGTGTGAACTCTGAGGGGTGCACTTTGAGGTGAGAACTCTGAGGTGAGAACTCTGAGGGGTGTACTCTGAGGTTCGTGCACTCTGAGATGTGAACTCTGAGGTGTGAACTCTGAGGTGTGCACTCTGAGGTGAGAACTGTGAGGTGGGAACTCTGAGGTGAGAACTCTGAGGTGAGAACTGTGAGGTGAGAACTGTGAGGTGTGCACTCTGAGGTGGGAACTCTGAGGTGAGAACTCTGAGGTGTGCACTCTGAGGTGTGCACTCTGAGGTGTGAACTCTGAGGTGTGCACTCTGAGGTGTGGACTCTGAGGAGTGGACTCACATGTGGTTTGGGAGAATGATGAAGAGAATCTAGCAGTATGAGAGGCACATAGGAATGCAGAATGTGTGGTGTCCTGGCTTCCCGGGCCTTAGTTCCTATGAATTGTAGTTTTATCCTCATGTAGTTCGTGGCTGTTTGAGTTTTATGGTTGTTTTTAAGTTTGGGAGATTCCATCTTTCTTCCCTGATAGGGAGCAGGTGGCAGGAAAGGGACTGGAAGTTTCAGGGAGGTTCAAGCAGAGCCTTGGCTTTACGAAGACATGCCTGTGAAGAAGCTAGGGCAGGCTGGGTGCAAAGAGAGACTTGGGCCTAGGAAGGATGGGAGCTGCCGAGTGGTGAGGACTTGGGAACCGCAGACCATTGCCGCCCCCTCCCCTGTGCCTGGCAGGAGCCTGCAGGCCACCCTCGCCGGCCAAGGTTGGGCTGGCAGTCCTGTCCCCCAGAGCCCTGGCCCAGGCATGGGCAGGCAGAGCTCACGATCTCCTACATGTCCTGTGATCAGGCTTTTGCCCCTGGAGTCCATGTTGACTTTGTCCATCGCTATCTCTGATCCAAGCAAATAGCCAGTACCTGCTTAGTAGATGGGTCAATGGGTGACCACCTTTGTGGTGAACAGCAGTGGTCAGTGTGGCTCTGCCTTGTCTAAATGTGTGATGCCATAAAACACGTGACTGGGAAGCCAGGCACCGTGGCTCACGCCTGTAATCCTAGCTACTCAGGAGGCTGAAATCTGAGGATTGTGGTTTGAAGTCAGACCAGGCAGGAAACTCCTTGAGACTCTGATCTCCAGTGAACCACCAGAAAACCAGAAGTGGCGCTGTGGCTCAGTGGTAGAGCGCTAGCCTTGAGCTGAAGAGCTGAGGGACAGTGCCCAGGCCCAGAGTTCAAGCCCCATGACTGACCAAAAAAAGAAGAAATAACCCCTGCATGGCTGAGGAGCATGACAATGTGGAGATGGAAAGTGGGGAAAGTTCACAAGGGCCTCTGAAGCCATCACCACATTAGAAATATTGGTTGCCATCCTCCTGTCGGAGTGTGTGTGGTGGCGTCGACGCCGTGCACCTCTCATGCCTTTCTTCAGCCCCTTCGCTCACCCGGCTGCCGGGGCTCGGGGCCAGGTCAGGCCTAACCGCTGCCTTGGTTTGGAAGAATTGGGCGCAGGAACAGTGGTCAGTGGGTGGTGGGGATGGCTAGGGTGGGGCCCAGGGGCGGCTTTGTGCCAGTGGTCTGGGGGCTGAGTGAGAGGGGTGAGGGGCAGAGCTGCCAGGGGGCGGCAGCAGGCCGGGGAGGGGTGGGGACACCATGGCTGCCCCTTCTGTCCCCCTCCAGCTCTCTGGTCAGCACCAACGAGCACCTCCTGCAGGAACTGAGTCTCGCCCGGGTGCAGCACAGGGCAGAGGTAGAGCAGATGCACTGGAGCTTCCAGGAGTTCAAGAAGACCACAGCCCTGTTCCCACCCCACAGTGCTCATCTTGGTGGCCGCCAGTCCTGCTAACGCCTGCCCAGAGGCCAGTTGCCCTCTTTGTGTTAGAGTCACAGGCTTGCACGTCAGTGTTTCTTTATTTGAACACGCTAGGGAGATTTGTCTCCTTCCCTTGGAATCACCCGATAATTTTCAGATGCACTCAGGCCCTACAGTTGAGCATTCTAATGCACCCTGAAGTGACAGTGAGCCTGGCCCTTCCTGTGCTTGGTGGGACTGCCGCTTTGTCCCTACACACCCTGACGTGAAGCTCAGGTGGGGTTTTTATCTGGAATGTGAAAGTACTGCATAAGATTAGTAAAATAATTTCAGTGTGACAAGCAATCCTCCTTTAATTGGCTAATACATTGTCACTAAAGGTTAATTTTGTAAATAGTTCTTTATAACTTATAACTGATTTTCTCATTGAATTCCATTATGAAACAACCTATGTACCATGGTAGGTGGGCAGGAATTAAAAAGTGGTAAAACTGAATAGGAGTTACAGTGACACATGTGGAACACATTTTAAAAGTTTGAACTGTGATGTTAATGTTTCATAGTAAAAGTATAAACCCATTAATGCCTCATCCTTTAGCTTCCAGTGTCTTTCTGAAAATCATAGCAAAATAGATTATAAAACTTGGGAAAGCTGGGCGCTGGTGGCTCATGCCTGTAATCCTAGCTACTCAGGAGGCTGAGATCTGAGGATCGCGGTTCAAACTAGTCCGGGCAGGAGAGACCATGAGACAATACTGGGGGAGGACAATACTGAGGTTTGAACTAAGGACTTCAGGCTTGTATGGCAGAGCATGCTAGAGCATTCGCACTGAGGCCTCCAGCCTTTTGTACTTTTTAATAGTGTTTCTTAATAGAAATTTCAGACTTTAATATGCTCTAATATATCAATCTTTTTTATGAATCCTGTCCCTAAAAAGACCAAATATATGTTTTTCAATATCAAAATTACTACAAAAAGGGCAAGATCCCCTTGAGGGATAGTGTCTTGTCTGTGTGATGTGTTGACTGCTGGCTCCCCAGGTAGCTTAAAGTTGTATCTGGCCACGAGAAAGGCTTGGGCGGGATCTAAAAGTTCAGCCCCACTCCCCACCCCCAACTTCAGGTCCCAATGGGTTAAATTGGTCACTAGTGACTAAGTGTTGTAATCTGTCATGCTTCTGTAGTGAAGCTTCCTGAAGGTTCAGACTGCTTCTGGAGAGGTACTTGGAGGGAGGGGCCTCCCACCCCTCTCCTCCTTCCTTTGTCTGTGTCCTTTGTAATGTATAGTGGGCTGTTAAGCAAGGTAATCAACCTCAAAAAGAACCAGGTGGTCAGAAACCCAGGCAAAAGCAGCCAGCCTGCCATTGCCACCTGAAAGTTGTAGCAGGTGTGTTGGCAGGGCCTGCACCCTCAGCAAGCAGTCCAGTGCCAGCTGCAGGTGGGCAGGGTCAGAAGGGGGTTGAGTCACAAGAGACCTGACAGCAGACCCTCTTGCTTCCTGGTCGGAGGGTAAGGTGCTGGGAGTCTGTGTTGAAGGTTGAGTGGAAGCATAAGAGAAATTGAGTTTGTTACTTCATAAAGTCTTGAAGATCTGCTGGATTGTCTTCCAAAAGACTCTGTAGTCTTATGTATTAGGAATTTGAGGTCTGTATTCTACCCAGAGTGAATTTGGGGGCATGCTTGAGTTCCAGCTGTCCTGTCCCAATCACTGAAAAGACTCATGTGTCTCCACTTTGGCTGTCTTCTCTGTGTGATACTCTCTCTAGGGTAGACCCTCCATATTAGGTTCATCATGTCTGCCTGGCTTTTTACTTTGTGCAATTTCACAAATTCACTGAATCACAATTTTTTTGAATAAGGACAATGTCTGACACGTAGTAAGCACTACACACTCGCTTGCATTATAACAGTAATTTCTCCTTGCTTCATGGGTGATGGTGGCTTATAATTCCTTTATCCTGTTTTTTGGGGATCACAGAATGGAATGGGCCATACATTCCTCTCTTGTTTGTTCCCAGGAGAGTTTGCTGAGATAAGAATCCCTTCACCTCTGGAAGATGATGTCATTTGTGCCTGGAATGTTATCAGGGTTTTTGATAATGTTTATTTTAGAATATGGCAGAGCCTTTTGTCAAGACCGCCCAGTCTCCCCTCAGCTGGGCTGAGCCGTTGGGGGCTGCCCAAAGCAGTGTGGGAAGAGTGGGGGTGTTCCCTGTCAGTGCCGGCCAGAGAGATTCTGACTGTTGCTCTCTCCCAGAGGAAGGCCAGAACGCCAGGTGCACTTCGTGTGAGCAAAGAATAGCTCTGTCTGTCCAGCCACTGAGGTAGCAGCTCCTCCTTTACTACCTGGTGTGTCTGCTTGTTTGTATATCATGGGCCTCTTAAGACCTGGTCCAGATGGCCCTCATTTTCAGGTTTGGGGATAGCCCTCATCCTCTTCCGGTGGCATTGTAATGGGCCCCTACTTTGAAGTTGTGTTCTGGTGCAGAGAGGTGGGGACATAGGTTTCTCCTTCACTGTCAAGGTGAGGAGACAGCTTCTGGCTACTGTGCCTCCATTTTCCAGCCCTGGCCATTGTCCATGTGGGCAGGGCTCTGCCTGGCCTTCCTGCCCACACCACGCCCCTCTAAGTCAGTCCCTGGAGCACCCTGAAGGGCCGCCTCCAGAGAGCAGGCATCTCTGCTCTCCCTCCTGGGTCTTCCAAGAGCCCCGCTTGCCAGCTGGCCTTGGCAAAACTACTCCCATCTGTTCCCAGAACCCCTAGTTCCAAACCCCTGCAGTTCAACAGTGGCTTCTGGAGCTTCCTACCTTTACAGCTCAGTTTCACTAAAGTTTGATGAGTTAATTAGGCCTGTCAAAAAAGCAGCCTCTGGAAGGGGGGACCAAGATGGTGACGGGGCAGTAGGGAAACGCCTCAGCTCTCCCCAACCAAAAAGAGGGTTTGAGTTCCAATGCTTAATCTCCCCAAGATACCGACAGCAACAAAAAGATGAACACCCAGAGAAAAACAGAAGGTGGAAAATAACAAAAGAGAGAAAAAGAAAAATTTCAGAACAGAGAAGTACAAAGACCCCTCCCCCAACCTTTACTGGCTGCACGGCAGCAGCCAAGCCCCGGCCAGCGGCCCAGCAGGGGCTGCCCGAGTCCCAGATTCACAGGGGGCTGCCTGCAGATCACCCGTGCAGAAGCCCCCTGAGGTACCGGTGTCATACCCACTGATCGCGATGAACGGAGAAACCTCCGAGCCTGGAACTCGGCCCCACAATGGGAGCCCCAGAGCCACATGGGACACTCAAAGAACACCAGAGCAGAAGACCTTCAAGGAACTGGTGCTGATCCGGAGAGCGCAAACGGAGACAAGCCCCAGCGCTCAGAACCTGCATGGAGGCCCTGCCCCCACCTCTCAGGCAGATGCTGGAGGCCCATCTCGCAGTGCGACCCGACAGCTTCGACCGAGGCAGAGACAGAAGAGAATCACACAAAGCCACCACGGCCCAGCCCAGCCTGCAACCACCCCAACTGAACTCTGATTGCAACGGCAACCAACGATCTACATCACATGGAAACAACTAGCTTCAGGGTGAGTACCCCGCAGGGGACAGTGTATCCCTCAAGGGAGACCGGAGCTGGTGGGAATCCCCAGACCCTGACCCAGACTCCCTACCCCAACTCCTGGACCACTAAAACTGGGAACTGTTCGAGAGCTCCACCAGCCCATGGAGCACACTCTGCTGGCCAGGCTAGAGCAAGAGCACCCCTGGAAGGGAGCTTAAACGCCCAAGCCAGGAACAGCGCCCCAGGGTCAAGACACCCAACAGTAGAAGAAATTTGAACTGTGTGCCCCAGGCTGAGTAACCTAGGTGGTATACACAGCAGCACAGGCCCAACCAGCGTGCCCCAGGTGGGGGGCCGGGACCAGGCCTGGGGATCCGGCGCCTGAGCAACACAACCAACTCCTCCCAACTGAAGTCAGAAGCTGAGCATTCGCCTCAGCAGAGGGGAGAAAAACAGGGAACTGTACCCCCTGGGAAGCACACCTGTGACAACAAAAGACCCAGGGGCTCAGGACAAGAGAAGCCCAAACCCCACCAGAACCTGACCCATATATTCTAGGCTAGGAATTGGACAACACAGGCTGCCAGCACCTGATAATAGGCAGGAGCGCAGGATGGTAAGGTGGCTCAGTGGTAGAGTGCTTGTCTTGGGTGCATGAGGCCCTGGATCTGATTCCTCAGCACCACATAAGCAGAAAGGGCCAGAAGTGGTGCTGTGGCACAAATTGTAGGGTGCCAGCCTTGAGCTGAAGAGCTGAGTGACAGCACCCAAACCCAGAGTTCAAGCCCACAACCGGCAAAAAAAAATCAGGAGCCCATAGCAGACTCCAGCATCTGGGAGAGTACATCCAGAACATCCGATCTTGCCAAGAGCACCCGTAGGAGCAAACAGGAGCAGTCTAGGCTGCTCAACCCTTCCAAAGGCAGGAACTGCCAGTGATCTACAGCAGAGAGCTGAGAATCCTATGTAGGTCAGACCAGCAGCTGGAGGTTGGCCTTCAACAGAACTGAGATCAGGTACAGACTCTCTCTACCAATACAGAATCAGCAACCAAGCAAAGACAGACACACCAAAACAAAATTTCAGATTAGTCTCCCAATAATCCCTGAATCCCTGTGTGAAAATCACAGAAAAATTACAAGGTTTATCAACACCCAGGATAGCAAGCTATTCCCAATAGCCAGCAGCCACCCAGGGGAGAGCCCCAGTGGGAGCAAAGCAGGAATGGAAGACAAAAGCTACATCCAAGGGATGCTGGGGACAATGACTCAAGAAATAAAGCGAGAAATAGACCAGAAATGGAAAGAACACGGGCGAACTATTGAAAGAGATGCAGGACATCAAACACAAGATACATGCAAAAATAGAGGCAGTACATACATCACTAAGAAGTGAGATAAATGCCAAAATAGAGGCAGTACATACCTCATTGAGAGGTGAGATCAGTACTTTGAGAACCAACATCGAATCCATAAAGGAGTCCATTTCCTCCATGCAAACCACAATGGAAGCCACAGTTAACAGAGTGAACGAAATGGAATGTAGAGTGTCAAATACAGAAGACAGGATACACCAACTGGACCAAAAAGTGACAGATATGGAAAAATCACTCAAATTATGCCAAAGGGAAATTCAAGAGCAAGCAGATAGTGCCAAGAAATTTAATCTTTGTATGATTGGAGTGGACGAAGCAAGGGAATGCAACACCTATTCAACAAGATAATCGGTGAAAAATTTCCCCATCTCAAAAAAGAACATCTTACCTACATAACAGAAGTATATAGAACACCTAACAAGCAAGATCCCAGGAGAAACACTTCTAGACACATTATAGTAAAAATCATAGATCTGAATAATAAGGAAACAGTCTTGCATGCAGCAAAAATGAAGAAGGAGCTATACTACAATGGGGAAAAA